ATTCTATTCCTCACAAAGAACTTGATGTGTGTTCTGAAGAAGGCAGGGTATAAAAAACATAAATTGGACCCTTGGCATCACTATTCTTTGAAAAGTCCTAATGACAAATCACTACTTTCCCTTTTTCGCCCTAGTATTTCATCTGTAGACTACCCATGGTGCTCTGGTCTCCTTAAAAGCTTGTCACTGGCCGAGCTGTTCAAACTTCGCCTTTGGCTATACTGTAGAATTTTTTTCTTAGTTTCTTGCAGTATAACTTACAGACACACAAGAAAGGCTTGATACTCTCTTTGTTCGATTTAAAAAAAACAAACAGTCGTATTGGGTAAATGCAACTCGCAACTCGTCAACAGCTCAGGAACCAAGATAATTTTGCTAATGGCTCAATATGCAATATGTTAAATACCCTTAATCATGTACTTCCTAGCATGTATGATCCTTGCATAAGTGGTGCCAGAGTACTCAAACATAAATGGGTTTGGGGCAAAAATGTATCCAGATATCATATAAACAGTAGAATTTTTTTCTTAGTTTCTTGCACTATAACTTACAGACACACAAGAAAGGCTTGATACTCTCTTTGTTCGATTTAAAAAAAACAAAACAGTCGTATTGGGTAAATGCAACTCGCAACTCGTCAACAGCTCAGGAACCAAGATAATTTTGCTAATGGCTCAATATGCAATATGTTAAATACCCTTAATCATGTACTTCCTAGCATGTATGATCCTTGCATAAGTGGTGCCAGAGTACTCAAACATAAATGGGTTTGGGGCAAAAATGTATCCAGATATCATATAAACAAATAGCTAATTTGATTTTCAGCCTTTCCATATTAATTTGGGGATCTTAGACATCAGAGTGTGTTAAAATATAATTTCAACATCAATATCAATTATAGTAAAGCCGAAAAACAAACAATTAATAATAATAATCACTTTTATGCTTGGTGTGTTTTTGTGACCACTTGCATAATTCGATCAAATCAGTCATTAGCCGCTAACTGCTCTCTGTACTAGCAAGTGAATGTTTTTGTGAACTTTTGCGAAAGGCTCCTTGCAGTTCAAATCATGCTATCTTGGAAATGAGCTGTCTCACTTAATACGTCATCCGTAATTTTATTTTCTTGGGAGTTGCAAAAACATTCACGCCTCCTCCACTTTATGGCGACTTCTCTTTGAGCGCGTCAAGCATGGGTCAAGGGGACAAAGACTCAATGGAGGTTATGCAGAATGTTTATAAGAAATGCTAATAATTACATCTCTAAACAACCCGGCAAGCTGTAAAAACACGCTACTCCAAACCTCAAGGGAGAAGAATGAGGATTATACCCGCTCTGTTATCGTACCAGTTTGCAACTGAGAGTCCAGAGCTGGCCAATGGGTTCTCAGAACCTGCAGACACACACCCAGGTGGACCAGTGCACACACAGCCTTGAGAGTCTAACTACTTAATAAGTGGCTGTTAGAGGTTTTCCTGGACAAAGTCCAGGCCTTGCTCAAAAACAAGGACAGCTTCATTTATCAGTCAGTCCAATCAGGGCTTTTTCCGGGCCTATATAATCACAAGGTGAGTTTACGTGATTTCATATTGCATTGTGCAACTTGAAATCAAGGAGAGTATATTAAACACTGGTTAAATCAATATTGGTTCAGTTTGACTTTGAAACATAATAATGATGGACGACAAAACAGAACAATTTAATATATAGTTTATAGTATGTATATTTGAAATGATCATAGTTATGATCAACTGCAGTTTTACTTCTTTGATCAAGCCAAAACACATTTTCCCACTCCATTTATATGTTTTACAATATCCCTCTGTATGCTTTTGAGGTCATTATATCCTGAAGAATGTTGCTTCATTTCCAATCCTCTTTATAGATGACAGATGAGAAGCGGGCAGGTATTAGAGTGGAACACTTTATCACTTACTCCGTAAGCCCCTTGATGAGCGACATTCACTTGAGAATGTCCTTCCAGAGAGAGAGAGAGAGAGACTTTTCAGTATAAGCCACCAATCACAATGAACTACTGTAATGTGAGGTCAGACAAAAATGACCAACAGTGTGACTTTAAATCATAGTGTTGCCAAAATTTGGTTTAATGCTCAATATATTAATATAATAATGCTTCATTTACAAAAGCAGGGCTGAGGCCCAATGTTTATTGTCATTTTAAGTGGAATGTGGAATTTAAAAAATGATTGTGCCCATGTTTTGCATCATACTTTGATAGAGGGCCTGATGAAATTGTAGCTTGACAATTTGTTTGCAGACCTCACACTGTTCATATTCGAACTTCACATGTGACCCCATACCTTGCTATAATTTTTTTTTTTTGTCATGAATCATTTTGTTAAGCGCATTTAATATAAATAATGAATAAAATTAACATTGTATGCAGAATATGGCTTTGGGTTATTATGTAGCGACTGATGTACTCTAAATAATGGGGTGTTTACACTGGAAAACATTTTCTTTATTCTGAGTTTATTTCGAGGTACATGGAGTTTCTGAGTATGTTGTTACTGGACGGATATGCGTTTTGTGGAAAATCTGGAGAAAAGTTGTGTCAGAATGATAGAAACAGATCTATAGCCTACTGATGTGTTGTCTAGAATGTATAATACTTAAGGGGAATATAAAAACATATACATCTTTTTCATGGTGATGTTTATATAAAACTATGCACACAAAAAAAAAACACAAATTCTGTCTTAAGTAATAAATATAAGAGAATAACAACAAGATATCTGCATCACCGACGGTTCACCACTGAAATAACTGTCTGTTCTTGCAACTTGAGATAAACCTCCCATATTTAATTTCTCTCTTGCTGATAGCATTTATCAGCAAAATCCTGATAAATACAAAATATGCAACTTAAGCCTGAGCATAACTAAGCCGCAAAGGTGGACAGGATTACCGGGCCAGCCGGGACAGACATCAGATTGTATTGCCATAAAGGGTCATTAGGCTGTTGGCAAACTGTACCTCAAGCTCCAGCTGACAGGCCTTTTCAAGAAAGTCAGATGAAAAATATGAGAGTAAAATTCCTATTGACAGACAGTTGAATTAGATAGCTAGAAAGATGGAGGAAAAAGTTTTTTTAATATTTATTTTTTTCAAATGTGCATATAAACATTTATGTTATCACACATTTTGACCTATTTATTTTGTTATTAATTAAATATATATATTATTAATAACATTATTACCACATGAAACACAAAGCTCAGACTTGATGACTGAGTGTGATTAGATGTACTTGACAGATATTCAGGAAGCATATCACTCCACATAGATTTCCAAAGACCAAAGCTGACATGTTTTCCTTTATTGGATTATTAAACTTTTCTTATTCTTTATGATCATAATCACTATTCACAAGATGTCAGTGTCAATACTCCCTTTATGCAAAATAGTTTTTTCATTGCAATTCACAAAAGTACACCAAGAAATAAAGTTCATATATAGCACATGCACTTCTACGCCAACAGTCGGTCTTCACAGTGAAGTATTCGCTGACTCATTTGGCATTCTTCTATTTATGTTGAATGAGAGGGGCGATTATCTCATCAAGGGCACTTGGACAGGTAGACAGGCCCCTGTTCTGGTGTGTTGTCACTTTCACTGGCAGAGGGAGAGTCGTGTCATTAATCTGAGTCAGTGATCAGTCAGATGGGAGCTTGGGGTGATGACGGCCTCCGTCCTATAAAACCCTCCTGTCCCCGCCGCTCGTCCTAGCACCCCTCAGGCCATATTGTGATCTCCGTCCTGATAAGGACCGGTGGAAGCGAGACTGCCAGACTGGCCAGGCAGGGTTGGAGCCTCTATGAGGACTCAGTTGCGATACTGTCCTGGAGGGGCCAATGAAAGGCATTCTCACATACGAAGAAAGGCTGCGAGTCAGTCTGGGCAGCCCCCCTCCCCATCTCCTGAGACTCCAGGCGCCACAGTGTAACTGCAGTCTCAGGTATGCTCCACCGACACTGTGAGAGATTCCCAGGCCCTTACCTGAGACAGACTTGAATGATCCTTCCACTTTATTCCAAGAGCTCATAAGCTTTATGCAATTATTTAGATTAGTAATTCACCATCTTTCTGGCACTGGTGTAAATCTGGAGCTAAAATGGGATTCTCCTCATCTCTGTGTCCAGAATGTCCGCTTATTTAGAAGCTGTTCTGTTGTTTTACTGCATACGCTGGATTTGTCAGCAAAAATGAGTACACTGTCATCATCCTATCTAAACTGCTTCCATTTGCTGTCGACTTATATTTGGAGTTTGGATGATTACAGAATAATTTCAAAACAGAATAGGCGAGTAGGATACTGGCTGAAGTTTTCACCGTCTGTCAGCAAATTGGAGACGCAGGACAATTTTCATTGTGGCATGTGTGGTTTTGTGGTGTATGTACTGTCATTTATCTAGACTACACAATGTTCTTGCCTGTGGCTCTTATATTGCTTTTTGAGATGTACCTTCCGTGGAAGAGTTTCCAATCATTTTCATGCAGAATGTCAATCTATGTATCACCTTATAAAATAATAAATATGAATATTATTAAATTTATCACAATGCTATGTTTTTAATGTGTATTTATATTTAAATACAATAAAAATTAAACAAACAAATAAATAAATACATTTATTCAGAAAAAATAATAATTTAAAGAGCCTATTCACTATTCAGCCACACTATCAGTGTGTATATATATACATATATATACAGTATATATATATTGTAAATTTAATGTGTATTTATTTCCACAAATTAAACACAATAAATACCAATATTAATAAACAATGTAAAATATTACATAAATACATGTATTATAAATAAATAAATACATTTATGTAGAATCATTTAGAGAATTACTATAGACTTTATGGTCTAGTCAGCCGCATTCATTATGCACAGCCTTTATGAATAAACAAGGCTAGCCTATATAATAAAGGCAAGTGAAGCCCTTATGCATGTCAAAGAGCTGTATGTAGGCCCAGTCAGGGTATTGCGCATGCGCATATCATATTCAGTATTACTGGGTCGAACCGCTGCATCAATAGCAAGACATGTCAGAGAAGAAACAAACAGTGGATTTGGGGCTGTTGGAGGAGGATGATGAATTTGAAGAATTCCCAGCAGAGGGTGAGTGAACTGAAAATGATTGTTGTTTTGGGTAGAAATGCGCTCTTTAGTCAATTTACGGCTAAATAAACACAAACAACACGACAGTGACTCAGCTAGTAGCATTGCTAAGCTAACCGACAAAACATTCTAGACTTTATTCAATAAATGCTTGGTTTGTCGCGTTTGAAAAGAAAAGACATGGATGAAAGAATGAATGTAATATGCATTATTTCTTATAAAGTATTGCAGCGCTTCTTGGTCCACAGACGTAAAAAAAACAACATTACTAAGCATTATAAGCAGCTAGCATGTTTAGCACCTCAAAACCTAATATAGTTGTATATTGATACAAGAATTATTTCACATTTCACAAGAATAATGATTGGACGTATAGAATGAAGTTGATGAACTTTTTTATTATTAATCTTGGGTAAAATAACAGAAACTAACAGCTCCACGCTGTGCACGGTGTGCGGAGCTGGTGCTGGATTCAGGCCCATGTAGATCATCATCAGCTTCATTGAACTGTTATGTCATTCCCAGACTGGACGGGCCTGGATGAAGATGAGGACGCTCATGTTTGGGAAGATAACTGGGATGATGACAACGTAGAGGATGAATTTTCTAATCAGCTGAGGTAGGCTTCACATGCTGAATTTGTGTAATTATACATGTGAAGTAGAGAAGACCTTGTGGCACTTTTTAATTGTAGATGGTTAAATACTAAATATGGAGTGTACTCGCCTAATCTAAATTCACAAAAAATGAATGCTGTTAGACATACATATTACATTTTGTTGTCCTAGTGCCTTTGCCAGAATCTTCCTGAGTCCATGTGAAACCCACATTTTTTTTCCTAAAGAATTGTGTGGTTAAACTCATTTAGAAGAAAACAGTCCCTAAGGGATCTAATAGTGCAATGGCTAACCAACACTCATGGTGGCCTCAAACCACATTTATGAACTTTCCTATGTGTGAGAACTGGACTGCATTAAATACATCCATTTAATATTTGTGTGTGTGTGTGTGTGTGTGTGTAAATAAATACGCTCATTTAAATATATATATATATATAAAAGGTAAATGCATGGACACATTCATTTCACTTTTCTAAAACCTTAAAGCTATAAATCTATTGATATCGCTTATGAAATAGTTTTGATTTCCAGCACTGGAAATGGTTGTGCTAGTGAATGTGTGGTGAAGTGGGAGAGGCTCATGATATTTGGTCGAAAGTGTTTTAAGTTTCATTATTAAAATTGGAAATCAATTAGAAACTTTTTTTAAATATTTTATTTCTTAAAAGCTTATTTTATTTCAGCTAATTGACAAGGCAACAGTTCTCATTTTCATTTAGTTTATCTTTATGTACTAACATAACTAAAACTGAAGTAAAAGTAAAAAAAAAAAAAACTAGACATTTAAAAACAAAAACTAATAAAAATGACAAACAAAATTAATAAAACTTTAACAGGAAAATGAAAGCTGAAAAAAAAAATTCAAAATATTCACAAAAGCTCTAATAGTATCTCTTTGATGCTGTAATATTGATATTATTACTATTAATAGTAAAAATTTAATACTTTCTGTGTTTGTTTTGTGAGTTATTGCACTTTTTAATTTTTTCCCTTCTTTTAGAGCGGAGCTAGAAAAACACGGATACAAGATGGAAACCTCTTAGCATTGGAATACTTGAGCTGAAAATTGATTTTTCCACATTTGAATATTGTCAGTTTGTTCTGTCAATAGAAAATGTGACTTCTCTTATTACTTCTGTAAGAAGCCCAGCGTTGTAAAACGGGTCAGTTGAAACTGAGATCAATGTTTTTTCCCCCTTCCTTATATACAAATTGTGTTAATACTTGTAAAAATAAAGAATTGTTTTCCCAATTCTGTTTGATTTTTATTATTATTATTATTTATATATATATTTAGAGGCATATATATTATGTTTTGCATACATGAATTTGTAATTGTCTTTTTAATCATAAATGTAAAAAGCACGGTAAAGTCTGGTAAATATTGTTAGTCAGTGAGCAGATTTTCACATAACCTCCAGTGATGCAGCTGCACGCATCCGTGGAGAAACTGCTCGGCTGTGCCCTGACGCTTCCCCCTGAGCTCATGGGGCTTGGCAGAGTCTCTGGTGGGGAGATTATCCAGTGAAGTGTTTGTCAGAGGCATGGAGGTGGTCACAGCGTGAAGCCCCAGCCAGTCCTGCCTGGGCCTGCCCACTCCCGACCGGGCCCTGCTCTTTTGCTCTTCACAGTGAGGGCTCCCACACCGAACCAGAAGCCAAATTGCCCAGCCGCACTCCCCCCTAGCAAAATGATTTCTCTGGATTTGTGGCTGTGAGTCCCAAGGATATAATGAGCTGAAATCAATGCCAGTAAGGCATCTCCTACCACAGAGGCATCATTTGCTCATGTTTTAAAGCATCATGTTGCATATTTTCTCTCCCCAAATTTCAAAATAGAATTTGGAAATGTATGAAATGATCATTTATTTTAGAACTTCAATTCTTTGTGACAGAAATGTGTATGTTTTGGCTATATGATGTGCATTGCACTGGTTTGTTATCGCTCTAAGCGTACGTGTATGAAGGCTGCATCTACTTGCTCAATGTGTTGTTTAATAGATTTTCTGTTGTTGATTCTGACATTAATGACCTGATGTCAAATTTATGATTACATCCTCTTTTTTTTGACATCAGGGACACCCACATCTTACAGGCGCGCACAATCATAACATGTAAATCCACCCATGCCCTTCAAAATAAGTGCTCTGTGCTAGATCATTATTTTAATTGTTGGAGAGTCAGTGAGGTGTGAAAATCACTAAGTGAGAGCAACAGTGGAGATTCCAAGGCCATTTTGTTTGTGCCTGAAGGCGGAAGATTGGCCTCTTGTGTTCGAGCCAGGTGGGTCTTTGTGGCTTCCCCTAAAGTCAGTTTCGCTGTTCATGAGAATGATTAAGCACGCACAATCTTTAGGCCTGTGTAGTATTTTCCACTATATTATTTATTTTGACCTGTTTGCAATTGCTTGTGAATTTGGATCCTTTTAAATTTTGTCAATGGGTCACTTGTCCTGACCTGAAATCAATGATGACAAATAAAATTTCAGTTCAAATAGTTTTTAAAATGTATGAATCATTTAGGAAGGACAGATTTCAATGCAATATATATATATATATATTTGGGATCGTTAATGTTTTATTTTTGAAAGAAGTCTTATGTGCACTAAGGCTGCATTTATTTGCTCAAAATACAGTAAATAAAAATACTATTTAATTAAAATAATTGTTTTCTGTTTTAATTCAAAAATGTAATTTATTCCTGTGATGGCAAAGCTGAATGTTCAGCATAATTACTCCAGTATTTGGCATCACATGATCTTTCAGAAATCATTATTATATGATAATTTGGTGCTCAAGAAACATTTCTTCTTATGTTAAAAACAGTTGTGCTGCTTAATATTTTTGTGGAAACCGATACTTTATTTTTCATAAATAGAAAAATAGAAAGTTCAAAAGAACAGCATTTATTTGAAATAGAAATCTTATTTGTTTTATTATGATGAAAATTTCATTCACAACCTCACTTAGTTTTATATACTGATAACATATATCCAGTTTATTTGTTTATTCTGTGGTATTTCTGTCACACATAGGATGGGTGTTGCGGTTGCACTGGGGTGTATGCGACCACAGCAAGCATCTCCACCATGAGCAATGAGAAGACAGGGGGCTGTCGTGCTGGGAGCGCGCAGCTGCTGCAATAATAGGCCTAATTGCACGTTTCTTTTGTGGGTCTGAAATTAGTGGCAGAGCACAGCTACAATGCCCAAACCTTGAGTAAAAAAAAAAAGACTCACAGGGGCAACTGTTCAGCAGTGCGGCCTATCACCACCACCCACAACTCCCTGTCCCACACCTGCACTCACCCTCGCTAAAGTAAACACAGATAATAAGGTGTAATTACTTCAAAAAATAATAACGAGAGCCCTCCATGTGACAATGGTTGGCCTGTTTATTGAGGGTGGAAAATAACTTCTGAAGACACAGATGAGGGTTCCCCCATTGAGGGACCCTAAAAGGACATGTATCAGTGTAAGTGAGTGTGTTAACCTCATTTCAGGCCCCTTTTATCTCTATATGTATTTCTTTGTCTGTCTTTCTTTTTCCACTGTATGCATAGTGGCACTAAAAGAAAAAAGCTGTTACTTTTAATTTTCTCTGCTGTTCATTTTGCTTGTAGGGCTCATTGTGACATTTGGGAATGTTACCATTGCGTAGGTCAGCGTTTTGCTGTGTCACTCTAAAAACAAAGCGGTTGTTTTGTATGCCATTTTGCACTAGAGAGACATTTTAAGGACTTTTACATAGGAAATTATTTCCATTGATGTCGGAAAAGTCCTTGATGTTATAAAGATGTTAAATATAAAATAAAAATATTATATTTAAAATGTCAATTAAAATATATTAAATATATACTCAAATAGAAAACATTTATTTTTAATTGTAATCAAATTTCACATTATTGTTTTACTGTATTTTGATCAAATAAAGTCTTGCTTTAGTGCACATAGGAGACTTCTTTCAGAAATATATTTAAAAAAACTTACAGATCCCAAACTCTTGAACAGTAAATTACAGTGTATACTGATTCATACATTTTAAAAATGGTTAGAACTGAAATGTTGTACATAAATGAAAATGTGAGCATATATGAAAATAAAAAAACAGCATAACAAATGTTTCTGAGACCAAATTCTATTAACTATATGCTGAAATGCATTCTGGTCTGCTAATATACAAAACTATCAAGGCAGGTTGTTTTATCAAAAGTATTAGTTGTAGGTGTTGTAAATTTTATACAGCTACAAACCTATTTGATTTCTAAATTAAATTATTGTAAAAATTAGTAGAAAAACATTGTAACAGACAGCATGTTTTGACAATTTAACACAACAAGTGACATGACGTGATGTGTAGCCAAGTATGGTGTCCCATACTCAGAAGAATACATGCTCTGCATTTAACCCATCCACGTGCACAGACACAGCAGTGAGTAGTGAACACACACACACACACACAGCAGTGGGCAGCTGTGTTTTTTTTTTTTGCTGCAGCACCCGGGGAGCAGTTGGGGGTTCAGTGCCTTGCTCAAGGGTCTCACCTCAGTCATGGTATTAAAAGTGGAAGAGCTGGTCATTCACTCCCCCCATCTACAATCCCTGCCGGACCAGAGACTCGAACCCACAACCTTTGGGTTACAACTCTCTAACCATTAGGCTACGACTGCCCCCACAAAGTGTAAAATGCACCATGAAAAGCCTTTACAAAGTTCTCTGTTTTATATGAATGTTATTGTTTATGCTAATAATAAAAAAAAATACAGTCCAGACTCGTATAGCAAATCGAGACTTGTATATCCAGAAAATCTAGTGCTTTAATAATGGTTAAATAATTCTACTGTCATATTATTACAAAGCTAGAAATTGGCTAAGTGGTTTGTTTAAAATGTGAAAAGGTTTTATTTATTTGTTTATTTATGCAGTTCTCCACTGAGCCCCTAAATCATCTTCAAGCTCAGTGATACCCAGCAATTACAGGTAGTTTTTATTCCATCAGTTCTGCAATCATATTTTAAGCATGTCCAACATATCAAGGCAACCCACCGCACTTAATAACCCTGGACAGTCAGGAGGAAAGCACATCAAGACTTGTTGGGGCAATTAAACACTCTTGATGTTATCCTCGCTAGTGAATTATCAGAGCTCTGATAATTGTTATTAATTAATCATCTCATTCGCTTAAACTCTCTCATTTTCACAGTAACTGTAAGATAGACTCCAATTGACCTTTCAGGTGTGGGGTACACCTCATCTTTCTCTAAAACCATTAATGTTTGTCAAACTGCTTTCAAAAGCGAAAGTACTTAAAATGCTGTGCCTTAGTGGATAACAAAATAAGATTTTCAAATCCATCTCTATGTGAATGAGAGTATACACAGAAGGTTAACACATATGTTACCAGTCAAAATTTTGGACACACCTACTAATTATTACTATTAATCAAATTTTAGAAAAATAATAATAAAGTTATCAAAAACACACATTGAAGTATGGGAATCATAAAACAAATAACAATATGATTATGTAAGTTTAGTATAAGATATAAATATAAGATAGTAGATTTGTTAACCATCTTGACTTTTGAATGGTATTATAGTTTATTTCAATATATGCATTGTAAAAATGCAGGTAAATTTTTATATATATATATATATATATATATATCATGAGTGCCAAGTGTGTCCAACACTTTTACTAATGTTAAATCTAAAATTATACAGATATTTCAGTTAATCTCCACTAAAATGAATATAATGTGTTTGATATTTTTTTCCAAGTTTTAAATTGCTTCCATAGCTGAGTTTGACAACTAAATAAGGATAATCTGGAAGCTGCGCAGAGGCCAATAGATTCAAGAGTAAATGAAATGTGGAGTGCAACTGTAAAATACGGAAAAATGCAGCTTTGGGTGTTTGAGAGCCTGGGAGGCCTGGCGGAGTCACAGACTTATAGTACGAGCTCAACACGGAAACAATTTATCATGTGTGAGTGGCTGTCTGCTCACAAGACAACAACAATGTTCTAAATCTCACCCTCAGGCAGGACACAAATCCAGCAAACCGCTCAGGCATGTGGACCCTTTCTAACTCTCTTTCTCTCTCTCTGTCTTACACACACAGACACACAGGTGGTTTGCATGCTATCAAGCACATTTGATTCTCTACTATACATCTTCATAGGAATTTGCACTGAACCCCCCACCCCCCATTTTTCAGGATTCAATAATTCAGTCCTTTCACTGGTAATTTTTTCATACACGGCAAATTAATGACCCATTCACGTTGCTTTTTCTCCTTCTAAATACAGGATGGGAAAACCAAAATCTTACATTTGTCAACCTCATTTCAAAAGCAAACTCAAGCTGTTTTATTCAGTGTTGGGAAATTTAGTCATCATTTAGTCATCTTTAATTTAACCGTTTGTCCTCTGAGTGGCAAACTTCCTTAAAATGAGCCAAAGCAGGCAACGCCTACTGAAATGGAAAATGTGCAGTTTATTTCATACCGCTGTGTTTGGGATTGGGAAATGAAAGAAACACATAAGCAAAGAAAGAACTGGTGTGTGTTTCATGATGGAGTGTCTGGTGGCCATCATGCAGCTCGTCGAAATTAGAAGTGACACATGTTACTGAAGGGCTCCCTGCTAAGGAACGCTGTTCTCTCGTGGAGGGAGAGAGTGAGCTTTGATTCATTGCTTATTGTGCCGGCTTACATGCTCTGATTAAGGGAAGCAGAGTGTGTGGAATCTCACTCATTTTTCTGGTTGGCTCAGAATACAAGAGTCCACATATGGCAGTGCGTCATTAAAACCTTGTATATACAGGGATATTGTACTCATAGATTATCCTGGGAAATGCTATAATGATATTACATCAGAACACATTTCCATTATGATGTCTATGGGTTTTTATTTGACATTAGATTCTCTAAAAAAATAATAGATTTTCTTTTTCTTTTTGGAAAGGCTCATCTCTTCAATCCACGTATGAGAACACTTTTTGTCCTTTCATCTTACAGGTTCCTGTCAGTTCTGACGGAACAGTGAACAGGATTGTTCGTTTTTGCTTGAAATGGATTGAGTGACATGTAACATGATGCATCCTTGGTGATTTCTGTTTTGTATTTTGCATGGGCCACTCTGTAGCCATGAGAACCGCTCTATGCAGTGTCTTTGTTCCTCATCCAAAATGCAGATGTCAAAATAAAAAGAAAAGAGCCATCTATTAATGCACATCCATTCATCCCTGACATGTGCTTTTCATGTTGTCCATGTTTTGACTAGGGATGCGCAATATATATACCATATCAGTACTAATATTCATTAATACCTATACTTTTATACATAATATTGTGATGTCTAAATTCACTTGTAACGTTTAAAATGATTTCTTTAATTTATATTCACCAAGGCTGCATTTATTTGATCACAAATCTTTTTCTCTCTCTCTCTCTCTCTCTCTCTCTCTCTCTCTCTCTCTCT